GCACTTAATTACATTCCAGACTTTTTTAAATCCTGAAAATTGTGACATTGGAATGTGTAAAGTGTTTCGAAATGGCAACGGGCGTTAACTTTTTCTAATTAAGTATAACCACACACGTACGCAGAGAGTGGGGTCTGACAAACCCTCGTATTTTTGTAACGTAAAAAAAATATGCTTGTAGCGTAGCTGTTTATTGTGTTTAAGGTTTTCTACATAGTCTTCATTCTACTGATGAAGCATTAGCATTTTTGGGTTGAAATAGTCGCATGTCTCCAAACCCCCGGGGCATTATCATGCTTTGCATGCTGATTGTGCTCCGCACAATTTGTGTTGGTTTTTGATCTCACAAATTAAACTTCCCGCTTTCAAACATTCTGCATACGGGATTGATAACGCACTAGACTTTCTTGAATTATTAACAATAACTTGCCAAAATTAACTTGAACTTTGGGTATATATATATATATATATTGAATATAAACAATGGTAAACGCAGTCGTATATGACTACTTAAGTCTGACACTTCGAAGGTTCTGACCAATCAATGACTTTCTTATCTGTCTATGGTCGTATATTTAAGGATATTTCACATGTGTCTCCATTAATCTGTTTATTTGTATTTGAAGTAGACAAACAAACAAACACCATTTTACATATCATCATTGACATCATTTAACGAAGAATTCCCATTGTAGCACAAAGAGCTATTGGCAGTCTGCATGTTAACTGAAAAAAAGCAGTTGTTTTTTCAAGGTGGTGGTTGACAATCCGTCGGCAAGAGATTTCGAAGTCGAAACCAGTCTTGTTTGGTATATGTTGTTTCGTTTCTTCGTTTGTTTTTCGATATACGTCAATTAACCTTTCAAATATGATTTTTATTGGAAACATTAAAATGAGGCATCACCGTCAAAAATCACAATTACATTCACTCAAACATTAGGCTAATCAAGTCAGCTGTGTTTCTTGTGGCGACTACAGCGGAGGGTTATGGGACGTTCCTCCTTAGATCACTTCTTTGTTTTTTTTACACTCTATACTCGAAGTATGTTTACACACTTGTTCTTACCAAATTACGAAAACAGATATTTTATTACAGTGCCTTATATGTAAAGATCTAAATATTAACATTATTGTTGTCAGTTAGATTACTAATGTTGTAATTTGTTTCTTCGCTTGTTATCCAGAGAAAGGTGCGGGTTGTAATGATGACGTTAAAACCGAAAGGCTTAATAATATAAGCTGGAAAGTTTTAAAGAGTTGACGTCTAGTTTTACATACCAGCGTCACACGTGTACATCATATGAACTGTAAACTTAATTGTTTATCTTTTCATCATCGAGTGTTATATTTAAGACAACTTCATTTAAACTCTTTGTTTTACTTATACTCTACTCACTATTTTATTCACTTATTTACCGCCAAATAGATCTTGCTACATTTTAATTATTGTGCAAGTTAGCAGCAAGTATAACTAAAATCATACTTCCTAGATCTCTGTTCATAAACGTTCGGTTACTAACTTTCTTTGTTTTTTTTTGGTTCACGAATGGTTATGTATCAATTTTCATAGTATTAATTATCATTTTGTTCTCACTCTACTTTCAAACCTTATATGCTTTTCATAGAAATAATTCAAGAGTAGGGTGAAGAAAAAACCTGAACACGCTTGGTATTGTTACGTCTCCGTTTGTTAATTGATTTTCCGTAAATTCGTTCCGACGAAACTTTAGCGACACAAGTCCTCTCTTAAATAAAACTGGTTAATTCTTTCCGAATACAACTTTACGATACACTCAACTTCAACAGGAAAGGTATATACTTTATAAGGTATAACATAAAAAGTAAACAAACAAGAGTGTTAAAAAATATGAATTTTAAGATGAAGTATGGATCATGGTGCAAAATGTAATGATACAAGAATTAAAACCACAATCACAAATTTATAAAATTTAATTCCTACTTTTACAGGTCTATACACTTATCCACAGGCCAAAGTAAGGATTAAATTTCATTCATTTGTGATTGTCGTTTTAGTTTTTGTAAACTTATAGCTGTAAGAGATATAGCTATGCTGAAAGTTTATAGATGTTGTGTCCATTCCAAGGATATACAAAATTGAACAAATAAATAGGGGGGGGGGATTAAACTGAAAGTATGGATCATTGGTTATTCGTAGAATTACTATAAGAAATATCCAAAACAAAATAAATGCTACTATAAAAAGTACACAAACAAGTAAAGAGAGTAAAATACGTGCTATGAGATTAAATTGGGTAGCAATTTTGCATGAAAATATAGCTTAA